AACCTTAGAGTAGTCTTGGGTTAGTTGTGATCATCATTGACATGGTCTTATCCTATGGTCCTTAGGGACTCAGTTAGTAGGTTAGAGTATCCGGGTAGGTCTACGTGGTGAGGAGTGGGACCTTTGTCGTGCACCAACACCACGATGGATGACTATCCGATGTATGGGCTACTTGTTGGGTTCTCCCTCTGGGGGACCCTTTGGCGTCTCCTCTTTCCTCTGGGCTTTTGGCCCACTTTCACGTGTAGAGTAGGGCCCACTCGTGGTGAGACTTCCACCAACCCCTACACGAAGGAGGAGGAGGAGAAGATGGTCGCCATTCTGCAGGACAAAAAGGAGAAGAAGGAGGCCAAGAAGAAGGCCTTGAAGGAGGAGCAGGCGGTCAAACTGAAGAAGATAGAGGAAGAGCTGGCCAAAGAGAAGGAGAGGATACAGAAAGAAGAAGAAGAGAAGTTGAAAGAGGTGGAAGAGGATGAAGAAGATGAAATGCCATTGCAGAGGAAGAGGGTGCAGTACGATGGTAGTAGGGATGAAGAGATGGAGAAGCGAATCTCCGAGTGGGTCGCCAACTTATCCCTGGGCGAAGAAGAAGAGGTGGCGATGTATATATCTCTAAAGATGATCAGGAAGCCGCTATGAGAGCTTGGGAAGCAGAAAAGGATGTTGTGAAGCGGCAGGCATTGGAAGACGAAAAGAGGATGGAGTGGAAGTTGGCAGTGATGAGGGAGAAGAAGAGGAGAGTGGACGCGGCAGCGGAGGCRGCAGAAGAATTAGAGGAAGTAAAGAATATAGAAGAGCAACTGGCCGCCCCGAACGAACTCCAGCGCAAATGCGAGTTATAGCCTGAAACGTTGCATGCCTGGCACGAATTTAGGTGGAGCAATATGATTTTAGTAGGAGTCAACACATAGTTGTGCGTTCCATAAAGTTGGGGTTTCGGGACTTTGCGCGTGAGCTGGTAGGCGCTATAGGGACCGAGGTGGGTCACCGCCTCGACAAGACTGACGGTTCTAGACCGGCGCCATTAAGGGCGTCAAAGCGGCAGCTCCTAAGGAGGAGGAGGCACGTCCTCCTCGTCGGGAACCGGTCAAAGTCAAATTCCCTGATTCCTACAGTGGAAAAAGGGAAGAGAACTTCGACAATTGGGAGGCCAATGTCAAGACCTATGTGCATCTGCAACAGGTCTCCCCGGATCAGCAGGTTCTGATTGCGATTCACGCGCTCAGAGATGAAGCCGCCAGCTTTGCAAGGTCCCTAGTTCGCGTTGCCAATTGCAGCGATGACCCCGTTGCGTACTCCTTATTCACTTCCCTCACTGAGTTCTTRAAGCTGTTGCGCGAGAGGTTCGCCGATGTCGCCCGTAGCGTTAAGGCCTCAGACAGGCTGCAGACAATCCACGCTCGTAAGTGGAAGAGCGTCAGGGCACTTAAGAGTACTATGGACGAACTGGTAGCTGTCCCTGACCACGGAGTTACAGACACCCAGTTGGTTGGCCTCTTTTATCGGGCTATACCCGAAGCCCTCCGAGGGCATTTCTTCGCAAAGAGCGAAGACCCTGCCACTACATACGATTCCCTTAGTCGCGAAGAAGTGGCTTTTGAAGCCAAGTCTGCGTCTGTGTCCACTTTCTGGCACAAGGACTTGGACAACGGTAAGCAATGGAAGGGCCACACTATCTCAGGGCAAGTAAAGACCAAGGACAGCCTTGTCCTAACCTTAGATGAGGGTAGTGTGGATTGGATCCCCTACGACCAGATTGAGTGGGGGTTAGAGGAGGAGGACAGCGGTGTGGGCCAAGGGAGATCTTACGCTGCTGTCGCGGCTGGAGGGAGGCCGCAAGGAGGAAAAGGCCAGGGCCAAGGGGGCCGGGCCTCAGGGAGTCGATTTCAGGGTGATCAGGGGGTTGGCGGCAGAGGAGAAAACCGCCAAGCAGGAGGCAGGGGTCAAGGTCCCCCGCAAAACCGTCCTAGGAATAGGTCTCCCTATAGAATAGGAGGATGGCACCCAAGGCTACCTCATGGTAGGCCTTGGGAATCTTTGGGTCTGGACCAGGCTTTATGGCAACAACGATTGGACCGGGGCCAGTGCATTTTCTGCGGTGACCCGGGCCATATCATCAAATATTGTCCTAAGTATAGAGAGACCCGAACGGCTGCCCAAGGGCCAAAAGGCATCCGTCGGTAGGGGTAGCAACTGCCCCTACCATTAGGYCATGTGGGGAACATAGCGCTAGCCGGCAGGAGACTCCCACACCACATGTGCCTATGGCAGAGGTTGCAGGCCGGTGTCTAGACAGYTGTCCAGAGACTGCTTGTGTCAGGGTCTCTTTAGACACCTCCCTCACAGGCRTGGSCGAAGAATTGAAGGAGAGGATGCCCGCCTRGGCCAAGATGAAAAAAGAACAGAAAGGACAACTAATTCTGGTAGATGTAGAGATTTTTAGAGGTAGAGTAGGGGCCCTAGTAGATTCAGGGGCTACCCGCACCTATATTAGTAGGAAGGCGCTGCAGAAGTTAAAGCTGGGGCTTAAAGTCCAAAAGCTAGCAGATCCCATAGTTAGTATCCTCGCATACAATCATACTATGGTTGTAGAGGAGTATGTAGAGGGAGTCCAGGCGTATTTCCGCTTAGAGAAGGATGGGAAAGTGGAGAAGGTCCTCCACTCCCTGACTCTCCTCGTAGAAGACAACCTCCCATTCGACATTGTTCTGAGAATGGATTGGGGAGAGGAAGTCGGGGCCACGCTCCATTTGAAGGAGCACGAGTGTAGGCTCCCTAGTTCTTCAGGCGACGCTAAGACTGCCTGCCTGTTCCATGTGTCAGTCGTAGAGAATTCCTTGGCACACTGTTGCCTGAGCGCGCCCGCATTCGCCAGATTGGTGAAGAAGGAAAAATTGGAGGAACAGGTCTTTGTCGCCTATATTAGGCTAGTGAATGAGCCTAAGGAAGAGAAACCCGTAGACCCTACTATTGCCAAATTGCTGGAAGAGTTTAAGGATTTAACTAAGCCGCCGACAGGCACGGTGCCGCGGCCCATCCAGCACCGTATTGAGATAGAGCCTGGCATTAGAACTCCTAAGGGTGCTGTATATAGGATGTCCCCGCGGGAGTTAGAGGAGCTACGGAAGCAATTGGACGAGCTCCTCGAAAAGGGTTGGATTAGGCCCAGTTCGTCTCCTTTTGGAGCCCCGGTTCTCTTTGTCCCTAAGAAAGAGGGAGAGCTGAGGATGTGTATAGACTATAGGGGTCTGAATGCTATTACAGTAAAGAATGCTGA